TAATAATAATTATTTTCTTTTCCTTAGTGTTACCTTTTTAGGCACAGATTTCCAGTAGTAAGGAATATTTTAGTAAATCAAGGCTGATTTTTGCATTACTGTCCTTATTTTTAGTTTAAATGTTGATAGCTCTGCACTTTTATATTTAAACTGAATCAGATTAGTAAGAAGCTAAGCAGCATCTTATAAAAGAAATTGTGAAATATATTTTATTTTCGAGGAAGGCTAATAGCACTTTCACATGAATACATGGCTGTATTGACATGGGACATATTTAAAGTAAATTTATTAAAGCAAAATTTATCAAAGCAAAATTTATCAGGAGGGTATTTGTGCACGATGTCAAAAGCCTAACTGATAATTGCCTGTAAAACCATGATGAAGAAGCCACCAGAATTTTAGGACTTTAAATGTAGTTCTTAAAAGCACGTACATGTTTCTTATGGATAACATTTTTAAATAATTTCAGTGACTCAACAGGTCTGGGTTTTTTGTGTTGTTTTTTTAATTATTATTATTTTCACTAATTTTTGGTACTGCATGGCAAGAAGGGCAAGAAAGCGCCAGTGCCCCAGGACACACAGGGACCATGTTTTAATTTGCCACTGATACATTTTGCATTGAAAAAAATTAAGGAGACATGTGCAAATGCAAAATGCAGAATCAAATGTTGTCATTACTTTAATTATTGCTGTCCAAAAAGCAGTGGCCATAAATCACATGTGGCTTCTCCAATGCAAATGGAATACGTTAACATTTATAGCAAACACACAGGTAACAACCTATGCTGGCACGGAAATCCTCTCCTCCAAAGACGACTGCATCCAAATGAAAGCCAACCTGGGATCCTCTTCTCAGTGCTTCTTCACAGACAGCCTTCAAAGGAGAACAGAATATTAATTTCTACAGAAATGCAGGATGCAGAGAGACCACAGAGGATATTACAGCAACTTGGTGCTACCAAAATCTTCAGCTAAAATCACTTCTCTTAAGTAGCAAAGCCATTGGAGGTGCTCGGCTGCACACAGTGCTTTAAAATGACTCAGCAAAAGAGAAAACATTATTTTTCCCTAAGCACCTGTATGCCTAGACCATGTAAATACAGGACTTTGCAGCAGATTCCCTACCTTCTGGTTGACATAATGCCCTGGGTATTACTATAATCCCTACTGCAGATATTTATATAACAATATGAAACACAACATTTGTCAAATACTGCTTAAAAGCAAAAAAAAGTATCAAATTTTATTAGTTTGACACGTAATACAGAAATACAGATCAGAATATCTTTTATTAAAAAAATAATATGAGCAATTTAAAATGGTTGTAGATTTCTTACGGGATATAAGGATTCCTTGTAGGATTGCCAATTGAAAGTCTTCTGCTCCATATAACTAATAATTAGCTAAGGAAGTTAAAAATGCAACAAGTGCTGCAGAAAAGTATTAAAATAAAAGCACGAAAATTTTTGCTGCTGTAGCTATTATATGAAGAAATGCATTTCGAAAATATGGCTGTTTTATATCAATGTTTGCATGATATTGATATTTTTTAAGGCTGAGGTATGTGGAGAGAGACAAATGTAATTACCAGATCTACTAATGCGTGTTCTGCTATGGCAGCTGGTGGGACAAGAAATTATTTTTTAACAGAGTGCTTTAAAAGGCAGCTTTCCCGCCAACACCAGGAATTGCAATATTAAAAATTCCACTATAAAATACTGTAGGTGAAGAAAAACCTCAGCCCATTTAAAATATGATGTAATTCTGCGTATGCGCACCGGACAGGAGCATGTCTATTTGGTTACTGCTTTATTATATTCCCAGATATGTTAGTGTGTGCTGTAAGATAAATGGCTGTATCAAATGAGCAGGCTGCCCGTGAGGCCTGTCAGTCCTTCTGGAGGTACTTCTGATGTGTGTGTCCTCAGCTAGTCCAAAACTTTTCCCTTAAAGCCTGGGAGAGGAAGGCTGAATTCCTGGTGCATGCACAAGATCTTTTTCATTACCACACTGCCTTGCCTTTCTGAAAAACCTGGGCTTGATAGTAAAGGTTGGAGAGTAATTTATATTAAAATGCACTTTAAAAATAAGACCGGATCTAAAATTACCCTAAAAAAGGAGCATGTTCTTCAGACATTTCCTATTTTCTAAGTTAAGTTGACTTCTAATCTTAGCATTAAACACATACAATCAAAACACGGTAACATGAAATTTTGTTCTAACCTTATAGGTAGAAACCATGATAGAGGTGCCAGTTTAGCAATAGTGAAATGATGATTAATTCTTTTTTCTAAAGTTAAATGTTATACAAAAGTCAGGTTCAATAGCTACTAAATAGCCAAGTGTATTGCAACACTGTGAGTATTCCAAATCTTTGGGTAAGTCCAGTCCAAGTGTGTTAAAATTAACAGTAATGCAGAGAGGTTTTGTTATTTGGCATGGACTATCTGGAACTGTTCTGTCACTGACATATTTTGAATTTATGAAGGCCTTTACATTACAAACATGAGAGTTCGATGTACAGATGTTCTAGGGGATTGAACAATATGATTAGTATTTTTTGACCTCTTTGATAAAATTAGAGGGAGACTGGGACTATTTTGCTTTTCCTAGTTTGCTGAGATGGCAAAATATGAATGCTTCAAGACTTGCTTACCTTAAAATTGAGCAAGCCCACTGCAGTTTCCACAAAGGGGATAAAATTCATTGGTTCTACAAGTGTTCGGCCTTTTAGGTGATATAAGAATTTGTCTGTAAACTAAAATTAGACAGTGGAGCTATCAGAGAGAGAAGAAAAAAAACCCAACCCCAGAACAGTCTACATGTATATATAACACGTTAAATTTTCACCTGGCTGTAACAACACCCCTCCCCACCCCAAAACCTTGTAATTAAAAAAATGAAACCAGCTTTTAACTAGGCCTGTGATTTGAAACCTCAGCATTCCCATACATTTCTATGTTTGGGGGCTGGTTTGCAAGAAAAAAAAATCCAGGCTTAGCACCTCTCACCCTGGCTTAGTGAAATGCAAATCCGCGGGCCCTGGAAAACAATGAAGTGCTGCTGTACCTGAGGTCCGGTTTTGTTTCAGGTCCAGCACTGCCATCACTGGAAGCGCTCCCCAGCCTTCTAAGTGGCATCCGTATTATTCATTACGGCACCGTTACCCTTTTGTTCAATAGGCTTTTCTTCATAATTTTTTAGCTTACCTAGGAAGGCCTTAAAAAGGAAGTTTAATTCTTTGAAGACCAAAGCTTGCCAATTTTTTCCATGAGACCAGTTCACAGCTAGCTCTGAGCTGCCAGTGGGGTAGCCCAAATTCCAAAATCTATCATCTGGAAACATACAAAAGCTCTTGCACAGATTTTTCCCCTTTCAAAAGGGGGGAAAAAAAAAAAAAAGAGGGGAAAAAACCCTCAGCCCTATATTGTAAATCTATTATGTCTGTCCAGATAGAGTAATTTGTGCGGAGATAAACATATTGCAGGTATGGTGAAAATGTGTTAGTAAATAAAGACAAAAATAACATATGCATATATTTTAAATTTAAGGAATATTCAACTATTAATGGATATCAAAGGAAAGGGAATTTTAATCATCTCTCCATTCAGTCTCAGTTGGGTAAATCATATCTAAGAGATTTGCATAAATATAAACCATCAAAGACTTTTCATCTTCAAAGGGGGTTTCAAGACCCTATAAGCTTTGTACTGTAATCATCGCAGGTCACAACCCTGCAGGAATAAGGCTGCTATGGCAACATAAAAAACTAATGCTTAAGGCTTAGCATAATATTCTGACTAATAGAAAGGAAACTCATTTTAAAAGCTGGCAGCCTATTTACCAGAAGCTGGATTAGAGGTGTTATTTCCCCTTTTAGCTTCCCCCCACCGCCCCTCCCCAAAAGAAGGAAAATCTAATCACCCAGATCTTGAAAAAAAGCTTTCCACCAATTTGCAGTAACTTTACAATTAGGCCAAAATAAATCACAGCTTTCTTCAGTGAAGAATGCTGCCCTTCCCATCCCTGCTTTGCATCGTCACCGTGGCTGTCTCAGTAACTTTTCTTTGGAGAAGAGAATTCCACTCAAAAATGTGCAAGAAAGATCAAAATAATAATCAATGCAATTCACATGTGTGAGTGTACAGTATGGCAGGTACTATAGTGACAGAAAATGGTAAACTCCATCCAGGCAACTACATAAAATGAGGTAATATAATGGCATCAGCATATATTCTTAAGACTCTTATCTGATTTTTATTTTTTAAGGAAAAAAAAGTAAAAAGCTCTACTGTGTTTACATTTTAGGTGCAAGTCAAAGCAGCAGAGCTCTTATTTTATTTGAAAATATTTTAAAAGTCACACTCCTGGGATTTTTCCTATCTTTTGTTTTGAAGATAAACAACAACAACAACAACAAAAAAAAGCAGTTTAATTAAATATTGTCTCCCTTCCTCTTTCTTTTAAAAAATTGCAATAAGCAATAAGGACAATACAAAAGGTAACGAGTGGAGAAGTTTCAATTAATTTTTTTTTTGTCAAAAGGAGACGATTAAATGTTTCCGGCCCGGTAAAGTGTTCATTTCAGGGAGAAAGGGAGGAAAAAAAAAAAAGAAGGCGGAGGGAAGAAAAACCCCACAAAGCTTGGGGAGGGGATGAAGTAGCAAGGCCTCAGCAATTCTTTCAATTCCAGTGCACACCCAATAGTGTGTCGGGAAGAATGCACACTGGTCGGGATTTGTGGGAGAATTGTCCCGCCACAAAGGAGGGAGAGTTACGCTTGTTATAGTCCAATAAGCCATGCCAGTCAAACAAGTACCCACACTAGGGACAAAAGGAAAGCAAGAGATTCTCACACAAAAGAAAACAAGTAAGCCCATCTTTTAGTTGTGCATCAGCCTCCAGGTTTTCTGCTGCACATAAATAAAAATGAAGGCGGGGCGGGGGGGGGAGTGAGTATGTGTGGGGGGAAATAAACAGCTTCTGGGAGGCTCAAAAATCATGCCGGGATGAATTTTGGGAGGATTGGGAAAAGGTAGCAGTGGCATTAAGCAGAGCACACTCTTTGTGTATAAAGGTTGGGCAAAGCAAGAGAGAAGCAAAAGGCAGACAATGAGACAGAAGTTGTTGGGTCTGGCTTGTTTTCCATGACAGAAATCAAAGTTAGAGAGACGGAAGGTGGAAGAGGATGAGGGGACAAAGAGCCCCTGCATCCCACTTCCTTGGAAAACCTGCTTGGTGGCAGTAAGGGCTCTGCCATTTTGGAAGCATGAATATTAATTACTGACAAGTTATGTCTAACACTTACATGGCTGTAAACCCTGAGAGGTATACCCTGATTAATTTAATTAAATGTTGGTGGAAGGGGATGGTGTGCCTTCCATCACAAGTGGTGGAGGCCGAAGAGGCAGTGCCACTGTACGGATGGGGCCCATCGTGTACCCAACATACTTGCTCAGTTGTAGGCTCACACCCAATCTCAGTGGTTTGATCATGGTTAGATGCTGAGATTAAAATAGATCCTAACACGTCTGCCTGCCTTTCATCACAGCTTGCACGCGTGCTAGTTGTTCGGCTAGTGGTTTGCAAAAATATAGAAGTGAATAATTAAGCATTATTCCTTTACTGACATGTTACAGCAATAATGGTATATCTAAGCAAACGTCCCCCTTTGCTTGACAATTAAAACGATTATAGCATAATTAGGCCTATTTCAAAGTTTTCTTAAGTAATTTTACATGCCAGCCATTTACATTTCAGGTTTTTATTGGCTGAAAAGGCAGTCGTGAAACACAAACACACCTGTCAGCAATTAAAAAGGAAGAAATAGAGAACTGCTCAGGAAATAATATCTGTGCTAATTAAAAACACTAGTTAAAAGCTTCCTGTTTGTTTCTCCAGTTGCCCCAAGGAGTGACCTTCCCCCCAACCCATTTTTTCATATGTTGCTAACATGGTTTCCCCATCTCCTGCTTACAATGCATGTAACTAAGACACATGAACAGACAGTCATTTTGGTTGTTAGGGCACTGAGAGAAGAGTCAGATACTCATGTTTCTATCTTTAGTAATATACTCTGACATCAATATTGGTTCTTCATTGACTGTGGGAGAAAACCCCCTGGTTTTATTTATAAATGCAAGGTGTTCTGCGTATGCCTTTTATACAGCACATCTTACACACCTTTAAGTGGATGTATTTCCCAACTACCTTTGCCAAGCAAAAACATTATATGGTATTTGCAGTCTTCCCTATAACTCAAGAGTCATTCATCTCAGTGCCTGTCAGAACTTGGCCCAACAGCTTCAGTCTAAAACTACTGTGTGTTGGTACTCACCCATCTTATTTCTTCAACATTTTCAACCTTTGGCAGCATCATGCTTGAAGGAAGGGTCTTGGACTGCAAAAGCACCTCTAGATCCTCTTCTGCAAGACCGCTGGACACAGAGTTTATCCTAACACACTTTTCGGCATGGCCAAAGTCAAACTTTTCAAGGGTTTTCACAATGGTCAGTCTTGCTTCTTTCTACAATTTATATGATTTTAGAGGCACAAGAAAAGAAAAAGAAAAAGAAAAAGCATGTTTTCTATTGACAGAGAAGTGCGCTGATCAGAAAACTTGTTGAAATGATGTGGGGAAAACTAGACAGCCAATATAGTGGTGTCCGCAAAACCTTTGTCACTCTTGGACTTTTACTGAAGCAGTCATCATCAGCACCTCACAATTTTACCTTCCTCATTTCTTTATAACTGGTGAATAAAATGTTCAGGTTTTATATGTAAGTACTTCTATACCACCACTTGCAAAAATAAGACTCCTTTGTCCACTAGCGCTGAATGTCTAACAAACGCAAATCTTTATACTAATCACAATGTGTTGCACCAACTGTCTGCACTCACCAAAATGGCACGTCATTAAACTCACATAAAATAATTCATCTCTGTATTGTCTGGATGTCAGAAAACACACATGTGCATATATTTCTTTGATTTTGCTACATAAATCTTCCTTTTCTCCATGTATCCAAAGTGTACTAAAGCCCATGGTAGAGTTCACAATTCTCATGCGATAACACCAAAATAACTTGGAGATTTTTCTTCAACCACATAAAAAGCTATTCTCCTGTTGACACAAAATAAAAAAAACTCCAAAGATATGTGCTTCCCACGGCCATTTGCTATTTTTGTGAATGTAAATTTACAAATCTGTTTAATAGCTGATTTGCATGAAGAACACTTGCATGCTTTTCTGAAATGAAATGCATTTCTTGGTCTGCAGAGGAAGGGAGTGGGGGGAAAGGAGGGTCCTGGGCTCCCTGCTTCCTGCCAACTGGAGTTTCAACCCCAAATACCTTCCACTCGCCAACAGCCCCTAACAAATCTGCATTGTCAAAATGCACACTTATCAAAAGTAATTTAATTTGTGAAGAGTTTTTATGGGGCTAATAAAACTTTAAAGCTCTTGACTCACAGAGGTTTGGGAATGACTTCAACAATATGCAGTTGATGAATAGAGATGCTTTTCAAGAGAACAGGCAAACAGGGCGAGGGAAAAATCAGCAAAGTTGATAACCAGGCTAATACCAATCAGCAAGACAGCACATGACAGTAGATTTAAACCAGATGGATGCAAATCTCTGCCGGTGTGAGGGGCAGAGGCGGTTTCCCAATGTGGTCTGAGTTAAACAGTGTGAGGGAACAGTAGCTTACAGTTGTCAGGTCCGATCAGGACAGGGTCTCCCAGGCCAGTTTAAGACAGCTCAGCAGTGTACTGATTTACAGGTCTGGGACCCCTGATAACTAGGGTAAGTTTAGAGAAATGCAGGTGATGGCTCTAACTGGTTAAAGGAAGGAATAACGAAGCAGAAAGTTAATGAAATCTGAAGGAAACAGCCTTCAGCTTGGGGCTACTAGCCATGCTTCTCTGAAGGTTGGGAGCATATGCCCGTTAATCGGACAGACGGGAACAAGGCGCACATGTATGCATCCCTGTGCTGCGATCAAGGGGCACGTTCAGAGGTAATCTCTGGAAAATACAACCCGAAATGTTAAAACTGCTGTGAATGGACTCTGACTGGGGCCATTAGGAAAGCCACATAAAGATGCATGCAGTTTACTACAAACACGTCCAGCTGGAAGACAGCTCCAGTGCACAGCCGTCTGAAATGGTTCTTCTGAATTAGGTAAACCGAACCATATGATGCCAATACCGGGTAATACAAATCCCCTATGTTTTCCTTCTCTGACCAGGGGTAATGGGTTTCTAGGGCTGGGCTGAAAGTTCCTCAGTATGATGCAGAAGGGTAGCTTAAAAACATGCTCCAAACCAATTTATGCTTTTAATTAAAGTCAGATTATCACCGTTTCAGCACACACTGATCCAATTTGTAAAAGAAAGATCTCCCCAAATTACCCACCAAGGCAGCATCCAATTCCAACCGAAGGCACATCTCTAGCAAACTTACAGCCTAATTTGTTATGATTTTTTTTTTCCCCCCAGATTATAATAATGAGCAGTAGACCATCTCATTAGCTATTTTTCTCCTCAGGCTGCAACTTCCTTCCCTAAAAAGACAGATCGTGTCTTTCTAGGTATATTTCCATACAAAACACTTATTAACAGGCTGTTGCTGTTATCAATTTACATAAACTAAATGTGCAGCCCTCTGGTACATATCCCAAAAATAACCAACAACTTCACTGAATTTATACCAACCAAGAAACATGGGGAGGGGGTTGTTGTTTCTTCCCATATTTTAATAGAAAATATGTTGCTATGTTAGTTAACACACCCATGCCATCTGTTGGGTTGAGAATTGATGCAGTTTTTTAGAACCACTATGTTTTAGATCTGTCTGCCTAGATACCCCAGGAATGGAAACATTTCCCTTCCACGATAAAATACTTCTAGTCACTATAGTTCCCACATAAGGATTCAATTTATGTTTTTCATTGTGGGACAAACTGAGAGGACCTGGCTGCCAAAGTTGGAGCTCATGAAGAGTCTGACTCGGTACCTAACCTTCCTACAGCTGAGAAAACCCCATTGATTTTAGCGGGGTGTATCAGGTCCCCACGCAGGCTTCCGATAAAACATTTCCTGGGTAAATAAAAAATTGTACTAAAACCTCAGACTAAATGTACTAAAAGCATGAAGGAAAGGGAGTCGCCTTTCTGCTTCATTATGCAGGGAAACACTGATGCTTTCTTATTGAAAGATCCATGCAAAAGCTAAAATTTTAAGCTAGGTAAACTACTTCAACACTGTAACAGTAGAGAAAAAAGTAATCGTTGATACAATCATGTCTTTATAGATGCAAGAATAAATATGCTTTCCAAACACTCTATAAAGTCCCTGCCAAGAGTGGTCAAGGCAGAATTTTTAAGGAATGGTGAAAAAAATGATTTACTCTGTTCTTCACCTGAGAACCACAACATTGGATAATACTGTGTCATGAATGAGTAGCTGATAAAGAAATAAATGTGATCATTAAGTAAATGATTCCATCCCCAGGTAGCCTTGGGATGGTGGTATTCCCATTGAGTCCTGTGTGGACTGGGCTCTTTATCAAGCTGAACAAGAGAGAAAGACAACAAAGAGCTTCATGGTAAACAGTGATACCACTAAAATATGTTAAATTGCAACTTGTGCTGGAAAACCCACTGGGAGAAAAACCCATTGGTCAGGGTGGTTACTTTAGCATCCCTTCCGTTTGACCCAGAGGAGGACACTGGAAGATGTTCATTACCACACGCAGCTATGCCAACTGGAGAAGGTAAAGGTTTCAGTGACGCAGCACTGCCGACAAATCCACTGCGACCCAGAAACACAGGCACTGAAGTTAAAGACGAGAATACGCATGTTGCTGGCTCGATTGGCACCCATTAAACCTAATAACTAACCATCCTCATGAGTTCCTAGCTCTGAATTATCAAATCTGCAAAGAAAACAACATCCATCCACTTTTACACTCCAGTGGAAGAGGTGGTCCCTCGCGGCGGGGCTGCGTAGTCTCGCCATCTGGAGAATAAATCGAGTGTGAAGTACAGTACAGTTTGGGACCAAGCTCCGTGGCGGCAGCCCAGCAGTTAGTTCATTAGTCCCAAACTTGCGGGGATTAGTGCGGTATCAGCTCTACTGTTGGATGGGATCAGGCAGGCAAAGCGCGAGACGCGGGGAAGGGGGTGGCGGCGAAGAAGGAGCCCCTCGGGCTTGTTTATAAAGCTACACAGTATAAGCCCACCTAAATAGGTGCCTTTGGTAACAGTAGTATCTTCATCTCCTACCAGCTGAATCAGTACCTTTCCTTCTTTCCTTCTTTTCTTTTTCCCCCCTTTTTTCAACTCAAGTTGTGTGTTGAGACATAGACATTTCCGCTTTGAAACAGAAGGGATGCCACAGAGCTGGAAGCTCAGCCACCCACTCACCCTGGACACAGTGTTAATACAGCAATAACAAAGCAAACACGGTCAGATTAACAGAATTCTGAGGACTGCAACAGCAGACAGAAAAATTACATTTTCTTCTTTCTTTTCAAACTGGTCTGACACCCCCCAAACCAGTTTTCTAGCATTGTTATTTCTAGACCTGCCTGATTCTGGGGACAAAATCTGTGTTTTGCTTTATCTTTCTTGCTTAGTCTTACACTCCACACCCCCCACACCCCCCTTTTTTTTCTCTCAAGACCTTCAGTTCTTAATGTAAAGATAGTAGGTATACTTAAAAATATGTTTACATATAGATAACATCTTTAGTAATAATTCTTCATATGGAAATGTAAATATATGATACACTAAAATGGCAGGCCAGAATCTATCATCCTCATTGCCATCATAAGTTTGCATGTTTCAAACAGCAGAGGAAAAAATTAATAACTATAATCACAATTTCAGTTATTTTTGTGACAGGTCTTACATGGTAAAAACATACAATTACGTGTTAATGTTACTTCCCTGAAGTGGTTTGTTTACAGGACTTGACACTGCTGAATGTTTTGTCACTTAGTGCATACTCTACAGATGTATCTCTCAAATACCATTTTGCAGAAGCACACACATGTATTATATACCCACAATGGGTTTTGGGCAAAATTGAGTTTCTGGAGCAGGAAAGCCTGAAATTTTTCACATGCGTAATTCTCCATCAGTGAAGTGCTTGCCATACAGGATGATACTTCGTTTAGCTTCAAATTCACAGATAAGATTGGCCAGAGAAAAGAGAAATTACATTTGTTTTCAAGGAAACAAAGCAAACTGTAACTGTGGAGCAGAGCGTTTCTGAGAACAGGAGGTGGTTGGTTTACAAGACCTGCCTTCTACCTTACATGCACCAGGTATTTCTGAGAATAAATCTTTGAAATGGCAAATACTTATTTCTATTTAGTGTTGTTAAACTCTAAAACTGCTGTAAAATATCCATACATTGCAAAGCCTTCAGGAAGCTTTTATTAAATCTTTTCTTATTGTTACCTTCAGATAGATAATCGGTTGAGTTTTTAAAGACTTAGGAAGTTTTAAAACACATTT